TGATTTGACAACAGTCTGAAAATATAGTTGCATTTATTCTCATGCCTGACCTACTATTCTAGTTAAAGTAAAGCACAAATGCCATCTAGCAAACAAAATGGATGCTACTCAAGCTAATATTGTAACACGCTTGGTACTATATATACCACCAAGTACTAGATACAAGTCAATATTGAAGGTTTCACTTTTATGTATTCTAATTTCTCAGTGACAGTATTTAGAGTTGTGGCAGCTTAGATATACAAACAAAAACTGATGAACAGATGGTAACTGCAATGAATTTAGACTAAGAAAAGCACCATGGGAAGTCAATCCCACTTTGGCAAGATTGTCAATCTTAGTAGTAAACATTTGGAAAAAGTGGAAGTCTTTTTAAGTTGGAGGAAAAGGATTATATTATTGTATAGATGCAATCAATGGAAAAATAAAGGAAAAGCTTTGCAGCCAAAGATACGGTATAGACAATCATGCTAACTCCTTCAAACTTCAACTAACACAATAAAATGTTACTTGTGGAAGTTTACTTCAATGCTGAAAGGAAGGAACCAGATTTTTATTTTCTTTGTAATCTTTTACTCTGGCAATAGCTATTCAGCGTCATGATTTGAATGATCAGCCATGATTATGATGAATGGTGGAGCAGGGCAAATGGCCTACTCTTGCTCCTATTTTCTATGTGTCTATACCATATTTAAACTGTGGTGCCCAGTACTGAACACAATACTGCAGTGAGGCTGAGCCAACATTTCGTACAGGTTTAAGTGTCGTACCTTTGCTTTTGTACTCTGCACCCTTTTTGATAAAGCCTAGGGCAAAAGAAATTAAGATAAAACAGAATAAACTACACTAGGCTACTTTTTATTTAAACAATAAGTGCAACAGTTGAAATTCTCCAGCCTCTGGCATCAACGCAATTCCGAGGAAACAAACGAATTATGGTCACTCTCCCCAAAGTTTACACTCATTTTCCTTTGTCAGATTGAATCCACCTCATTCAGTCTTGGTTCCTTTAAGTCCAAACAGCCTACCCAATATTCCCTCTTCTAAATTTAAGTGTCTGAACTGGACTGGAACTACTTCCTTGACATTAACAGATACAAAGTATTCATTAAGTTGCTCAGCCATATCCATCTGCCTACCTGCGTAAACCCCTTTTACAATCCATAACCAGCATCAAGCCTCCTTGAAATTCACCCTTTTACTACATGGATATTTTCAAATTCCCTTCATATTAGTTGCTAGTCCCTTTTCTCGCACACTTTTTCACCTTGTGTGGTTTTTCAATTCCCCTTCTGAATCTTCTAAACTCAGCCTGGTTCTTGAATGTATTAGCCACCTGATATCTATTTTAACTATTTATTTTAACTGTGCCTAAACTAGCTCTTTAATGACAATCTACTGTTTTGACTGTCAACCCTTACCTTGGTCAGATACATTCTTTCCCGGGTCAGACCCATTCTAACCCCACTGCAATCTGTTTTCACCTGTTAATTATTCTTACTCTGGAGTTTTCATTTGCCTGTTACCATATTCCATTTCAACTTTATGATACAATAATCATTATCCCCAAAATTATTTCCCTCCTGACACTTGTAATAATCTCAGATCTGACTGCCAAATGCATATCGCAAGCTCTCTCAGGACAAATAATCTTTTGCTTAAAATAAACAAAATATGAGCCTCCAAATACTAGTAGAACAAAGCCACAAAATTGAACAACAAAATTAAACTTTACTGTACAAAGTTAGAACAGCAATAAAATTTGTAATATACTTACAACATATATTATCACATTCAGAATTAAACTACAGTAAATACAAATAACAGAAAAATTATGGTTGAACATCCCACAGCAGGTAGCAAATGGTTTCCAGAGTCTGTGTACTCCTGGATCCTGAAAACTGTCCTCCAGCACAACTCCAGTTTTTCACAAACAGAATTCTTCATTAAGCCAGTTTTGTGCGGGGATATTTTTCCCAAGCTTTAGTCTTGTTCACCCGCACCAACTAGCTCCAAACTACTAACCATGCTGCACCCTCCGAGTGCCAGCTTCACAGAACTATCCATTACTCATGAGGTTCCTCTCTGAGCCCAGCAACCCAGAACCAAAGCTGTTCAGTTGCAATCGATGTAAACAGCAGCACTGATTAATGTGGAGTCTGTGTCTCTCTTTCTCACTCTCACACAGTCTTACATTGTCAGACCTCAACTGAGAAGTAATGCTTAAACCATTCTGGTTGACTTCTTGAAAACTTCACAACAAGACCCACCCTTATTCCTAAGCAAAACCAAATGTAGCAACTATTGGAATGTAGCTCAATGTGAATTAAGTATAACTAACATTGAACTACTAAGTTTCCTGAATACTATAGTTTCCACAGCTTGTTGGCTTACATAGTACAAAATGGATTCCAAAAAAAAGGGACTTCATCACACAGTTGATCCACTTGGCCCACCTCTTCCCAAGAAGTAGGTGTAGCTCTGCCTCTTTCCTCATTGGATAGGAAAACATACTGAAGATATCTATCCTGAACACGTGCTAGGAATTCTTGTCCCTCTCTACTTTTTACACTACTACTTTTCCAACCCATATTTAGATAACTAAAGTTCCATAAAAAGCCTACAGTTTGGGCCATTAATCTTAACAAATTGAGAGGTACAACCACGGTGCTGATTAAAATCGTGTGTTATAATTTAACGTAAATAATTAGCTTAATATGTCAGTTCAGGATCTAGCATTGCTGTGGATATGGAGTGACATGTACTGCAGACTGCCTAAGGACATTTGTGAACCAAATGAATATTTACACCAATCCTGTAGTTTTAGTCACTGTTACGATCCCTGCCAATGTTAGTACAAGAGCAGTTAGATCTCAGACTGAAATCTGGTTTGATAGATCACATTTTGATTTGTTTTGGTTTTAATGAAATGGTCTCTCACTGAAATATAAGCACACAATGCTGCAGATTTTGCTTTAACAATAAAACAGATGTGTATTAACAAAATAAATGAAGATCAAGTAGAATAAACTGAAATATCTACATTTAATATAAACTCAAAGATTTCTAGATACACAGTAAAAGTATAATCCCACTAATCTCAAAACACTCCATTATAAATTGAAAATAAAAAACAGTTTTTGTATCATATACAACTGTCACAGCACTCAGACCCTGGTAGGTTTAAGTCACTTAAACTCAGACTGGAACTGCTAATGGCATCATCCTGGAGCTATTATACATCTAAGCTTAAATGTACTCAGCTTTAACTAACCTCTTCAAGACTTCATCCCAAAAATTCTGATCTGGGACTAAAACAAACTGCTTACTCTAAGGTAATCTAGTTTCACTATATCTTTCCTTTCTCAAAAGCACTGGTCAATACAGCCATCTTCATCCAAGAATTGTATACCACTGCTCAAAATTCAAAGTAAAACTGAAAAAAAAACTCTCCCTAAGTTTACAGATAGCAAGAACTGCAGATGCTGCAGTGAGAGATAATACAGTGTGGAGCTGGAGGAACACAGCAGGCCAGGCAGCATCAGAGGAACAGGAGAGTTGATGTTTCGGGACAGGACCCTTCTTCACCCTAAGCTTTGGGTGCTTCCCTTATGCTTTAAAAAAACAGCACTGATTTTCCAAGCTGGAGCTTGTTCGCCTTCAATCCTAAATCCTTAGCAATGTAAACAAAAACCCACTAATTGTCTCAGACCTTAGCAATGTAAACAAAAGCTCATTAATTCTAAAGATAGGTCTCGGAATTGTTTCACCAGAAATCACCATGGCTACAGAAACACAAGATAATTATTTACTTCTGACATACTAAAAAAAACTATGTCCTTTATTAATTTAGAATCCAAGATGCCAAACTTGCAACAAATGATTAAAAAATTTCAGTTTATTTCATAGCCACTCCAACTGATACTTGTTTCTTCAGTAAATTTAACTTAAATTCCATAGCTTCATTAACGGAATCTAAACTCATGTTCCTGGAGCATTTCTCCAAGTCTTCTGGATTACTAAAATAGCATCACTGCCATATGAGATAGAATTGAAAGAAAACAACATAGAAAATAAGGAGTTTTCTCACTCTTTCTAACAGAAAAAGTCCAATAGAATTGATAAGAGACAGAATCTCAAAAACAGAGAAACAAATAAAGAGGGATACAGAATAGGTGCAAAGCTCAGTTGAAAAATCATTACGAATAACAGACACAAAAAAAGTTCCATGAAGATAGACAAATTTCAATTGTACTGTTGTGTGCAAATGATGCCATGGGAATTTGACACCTGTACAATAGTATTAGATAATGTAGGATAAGGCTAGGGTCATGCAGAGAATAAACAGCCCATATATAATTTAAATCAAATAATATAATCAAGCACCTCCAAACTAACACTAAACTAGAATGTCAGTCATACAATTGCAACTTTAAGGAACTACACCAATTTTAACACTTTAAAAAAAAAGCATTTTGCTATTTGCTGATAATTGTATTGAATATCCACAGCATATTTTGAAAACATTTTGTTGTTAGAAAGTTTCACTTAAAATATTTATGCAAAGAATTTCCATTCAAAACAGCACCATTCCATTCAACGTGCAATAATCTTTCTAGCACCAAGTCAATTTATTACATATCAACACCACGAATAATAATGGATAAGATCTGATATTTGCTTAAATAACCTAAAAAGAGAACAGTACAACATAATGAAAGCCATCTATCCAAATTAAACACACTAAATAAGGAATCGACATTTTTGTTTAAAAAATCTGTTACCACTGCTATAAAAAATTCACAACAGTTTAAACTGAAAAGTTAATTTAAAGAGTACAGTGCCTCAATCCTTTGTTGTTCCTTAGTCATTAGACTGTAAATTAGCTTTCATTCTAACGCATCTTAGAATGTAGTTTCAGAGTTTGCATGACTAAATGAACTCCATTCAATCTAGTTAGCAGAGGAAGAATATTACGTAATCTGTAAAGCATCACTTACGTTTCCCAATCCAGCCAGCGCCGACCTGAAAGAGAGGATGAAACAGAAACACAAAATTCAGATATTCCCGAATACATTTCAATATAAAGAAAAGTGATCAACGATAAATCGAACCTGGTAAATTGAGATAAATATCCTACCTCAAATAAACTGCCACTTTCTTGACAACTTTCATGACATAACCAAATCACCAAGGGAGCCACAAACTCAGGTTTCAAAGCATCCACTAATTCTAGATTAAAGAAGATTATATATCAAATCAACCTAACATGCACTGCAAAAGCTATTTTGTTAAACCAGAGAATACTGATCAATAGCAGTCATTTGAAGTGTCTCCAATATAAAGAATGTCTTTATTCAATGGTCCCAAGGCTCCCAGAAGCTAATTCCGCTAGCAAGAAGCACTTTGGAGGTATGACTTTTGATCACACATGTTCCCTGCAGTTGATGAAATCTACATGAAAAAAAGCTTACCACTTAAATATTAGGGTACAGACATACATCTGAAGCATCTGTCTTAATGAGGCACAAGTTAGAAAGGGAGACATTTTCTTTTAGGAATGAGGGGGTGACATTTGAAAGGGAATTAATCCTGACCATTTAAAAGAAACATCATGCAGTCTTCTTACAGTTCAGTATCGAATTCACATCTGTAGAACAGGTACTACTCAGGCTCAGTAATAACTATGGGCAAGCTAGCAAATGTAGCATTGAGCAGAATTCCCAGACTGTAACAGTACTTTAGAAATATTACATGTCACTGGGACGAAAATTCAGTCAATTCATGGTCAGCACAATGGAGTTGTCCTTCTCGCATCCCACAAATTGTCGAATCAATCTCTCAATTACTAGAATGTTTGGATAGATAGTAATCCAAAAACAGTGAAGAAATCCATAACCCTTCACTCCTGTGTATGGTCTTGGACTTGTTACCCAGGAGAGGATAAACTTCCCTTAGAACCTGAAAACAGTGGTTCACTAAGTCTGAGTCCTGGGATTGACAGACTCAATCTGTATATCTTTGAATGAAGAAGAATGACAGGTGATCTCTTTAAAACAGAAAATTCTCAAGGGGCTTGAAAAAGCAGATGCTTAGCCAATGATTCCTGTGACCAGGAACACTGGAGCATGGAGAGTTCACTCATCAACTCAAGCCTGCTCTACCATTCTTCATCATGTCTGATCAGCTATCTCAATGTCACATTCCAGTGATTTTTCCATATCCCTTGATCTCATTAGTTACAGGAACGCCATAAATATCTGTCTTTAACCTAGGCTAGAATCATCTCAGAACAAGGGGTAGCTATTTAAGACTGAGATGAAAAGACATTGTTTTCATCCCAAATTTGAGAATCTTTGGAATACAGAAGGCAAGAGATCCAGGGATGATTAGTTGTAAGATATCTTTAAGACAGAGGTCAATAGACTTTTGGATACTAAGGCAATTAAATGTGAAAGTAGGGGAAAGTACACTTCAGGGAGATCAGATACAATTGCATTGAATGGATCAAAAGGCTAAATGGTTAATTATTTTACATATTACATTATGTTCTGCATTTTATTTAAAGTTATGTAATTCAGACATTTTAATTAAACTACAAATGTATATATGGATATTAAATATATTGACTATGACACATGTAAAGCAGAATTTGCAACAGAAAGATTTGGATTGAGCAATATAGATATCTAACAGAAATACCTGTTAATAGAAACGTAAACTTATAATCAAATATACGTTAAAAGAATCTTAAACAATTAATGGTTTCTGCATTGCTAACAAATAACAGAACTTCAGGTCATCATTGTCAGTGTCAAGTATTTCCAGGTTGAAGAATGTAAACTAGAAAGACAGTAAGAAATCCTTATTTTTTACAAACTGCACATCTACCTCAATGTCAGATGAACACTTATACCCTTTGTGATATTGACCACTTCCTACACCAGACATCTGCATTACTCCCTGTGATGTTGTATATCTAGTGTAGAGAATGGAAAATTACAAGTAAATTTATACTAGAGATTCTCAACAACTAACATTTGAATTATTAAATATTAATAATTTAAATCTTTGGAACACACAGGACAATTTCCAAGTTTGAGGATAATACAAAACTGTGAGGAGTGCAGTGCAAAACTGGACGACACTCGGTCACGACTCTCATGTAGAGAGCCGACACAAACACAAGGCAAAAGGTGCCTTGTGCAATATTTCTGTGATTCTCTGAATTACAAAACTTGTGAAATACGCATTGGATAGGTTTCCTACAGCTGAAGACAGAGGCCATTTTAACCCATCAATACACCTTAACTCTGACTACAGAATTAAAGAGAATACAAATTTCCAAAATCATGTCACATTCCCAAAACGTTCTTTGGCAGATACGGTTAATATATTTGTCCATTCAATTCAGTCCTGTAGTTCATGCTCCAGTGGTAATATTAAATTGAATTGTAATTTTGTGCTCCAGGCACCCCAATTTGAAAGATAGTGAAGTGATTGGATTTATTCTCCAGCTACAACCAAGTCCAAATGACTACACTCCTCAATGTAACTACCTCAACTACAAATACTGTACTGCATTGAAGAATGAGCTTACATTTCGAGCTAAGATTCTGGAATGTGGTCGAACTCAAACCTTCTGATTCAGAAGTGAATGCTACCACTTAAATAAGGCTGACATTATGGGGACTGTCAACTGATTATAACTGGATCAGAAACTTTTGATTGCTATGTGAACTTGAATAGAACCTAGAAGATAGGAGCAGGAGTTGGCCAAACAACCTCTCAAGCCTGCTCCACCTTTCAATATGAGCATAGCTGATTATTGAGCTGAAGCCCCAGATCCAGCCCTTCTCCCGTATACCTTGAACCCTTTAGTCACAGAGCTATATCCAACTCCTACTTGAAAACACAATGCTTTGGCCTCAACCATTTTCCGTGGTAGTAAACTCCACAGGCTCACCAGCCTCTGGTTGAAGAAATTTCCCCTCATCTCCATCCTAAAAGGTTTATCCTTTATCCTTAAATAGTGACTCCTGGTTCTGGACTTCCCCACCATTGGGAACATCCTTCCTGCATCTAATCTGTCTAGTCCTGTTAGAATTTTATATGTTTCTGTGAGATCCTCCTAAATTCTTCTAAACTCCAGTGAACAAAATCCTAACTGACTCAATTTCTCCTTGTATGTCAGTCCTGCCATTCCAGGAATCTATTTGGTAAACCTTCACTGTACAACCCTCCATAACAAATATCCTTCTTCAGATCAGGAGACCAAAACTGCATACAATATTCCAGCTATGGCTTCACAAATTGACTATATAGTTGCAACAGATGTGCTTCTTTCTGTACTCAAATCCTCTCACTATGAAGGCCAACATATAGTTTTTACCTTCTTTACTGCTTGTGCACCTGCACACTTACTTTCAGCATGAGAATACCTAGGTTTAATTGAAAATCACCCCCTCTCAATTTACAGCCATTCAAATAGTAGTCTGTCATCCTATTTTTGCTATCAAGTTGGATAACCTCACATTTATCCAACTTACACTGCATCTGTGATGCATTCGCCCACTCACTCAACCTGTCCAAATCACATGGCGATATCTCTGCATCCAACTCACAGCTCACCCTTCCACCCAGCTTTGTGTCATCTGAAAATTTTGACTAATTACATTTAATTCCCTCATCTGAATCATTAACGCATATTGTGAATAGCTGGGGTCCTAATACCAATCCCTGCCGTACCCCACTATTCACTACCTGTCAATCAGAAAATGATCCATTTATGGCTACTCTGTTTCCTGTCCGCTAACCAATTTTCTATTCATGTCAATACACTATTCCCAATCCAATTTAATTTTCATGTGCTTTAATTTTACACAAAGGAAGTGCAAATAAAGCAGATGCACTGACTCTCCTGATCTACTCGTCACATTCTTGAATAATTCCAACAGATTTGTCAAACAGGATTTCCCTCCATGCTATATCTGAATCTACCATTTTTTTAAGCACTTTTCTATACAACCCTTGATCATGGACTCTAGCGACTTCCCCATTGCTGACATCAGAATCATTTGTCTATAATTCCTTGTGTTCTTTCTACATCCCATTTTAAATAGTGGGGTTACATTAGCTACCCTCCAATCTGTAAGAACTGTTCTAAAGAATCTAAAGCCTAAAGAATCTTGGAAGATCGCCGCAAATGTATCCACTACTTCTGGGGTCACTTCCTTTAGTACTCCGCAATGTAGATTATCAGCCTTGGGATTTAGCAGCCTTCAATCCCATCAATCTCTCCAACATCATTTTACCACTAATACAGATTGCATCAGTTCCTCTCCCTCACTAAGCCCTGTGTACCCCATCTTTTCTAGTGTGTTATTTCTGCCCTCCTTTGTGAGGACAGATGCAAAGAATGAATTTAGCTTGTCAACCATTTATTTGTTCCCCATTATAAATTCTCCCCTTTCTCACTGTAAAGGACCTATATTAGTTTTCATCAATCTTTTTCTCTTCACATACTCTTTAAAAACCTTTACAGTCAGTTTTTAAGCTCACCACAAGCTTACTATCATACTCTATTTTCACTTCTTAGTCAATCCCATGGTCGTCCTTTGCTGTCTTCTAAACTGCTTCCAGCCTTTAGATCTATTGATTTTTCTTGCCAATTTATATGCCTCTTTTTTGCATTTAATATAACTTCCCTTGAAAAAATGGTTTGGCCGTTGTTTTCTTTGCACTCTTGCGTCAGACAGGAATAAACAATTTTTGTAGTTCACCCATTTGAATGTTTACCATTGCCTATCCATGTTCATTCTTTTCAGTAGCATTTCTCAATTCATTACAGCCAACTCGCATCTCATACCATCAAAGTTTCCCTTATCAAAATTCAGGACCCTAATCTCAGAATCAACTACCTCACTCTCTATCTTGATGAAGAATTCTATCATATTATGGTCATTCATCCCCAAGGGTTTTCTCACAATTACATTACCAATTATTCCTCTCTTATTGCATGATACCCAATCTATGATGGCCTGTTCTCGTCAGTTCCTCAACACATTAGTCCAGAAAACTATCCCATATACACTCTTAGGAATTCCTCCTCCATGGTATTGTGACTAATTTGACTTTCCAATTGATATGCAGATTTCCTTTACCCCATGCATCTCTGATTTCCTGTTTAATGCCATTCCCAACAGCACAACTGCAGTTTAGTGGTCCGTATTCCATCCCACAAATATTATTTTTCCCTTGGTATTCCTCAATTCCATCCACACAAATTCTACAATATCTGAGCTAATATATTTTCTTAATATTGTGTCTATATCCTCTTTAACCAGTAGTGCAACTCCATCGCCTCTTCCTTTGTCTATTCTTCCTAAATATTGACTACCCGTTTATTTAGTTCTCATTGCTGGTCACCCCGTAGCCATGTCTCCTAATCCCAACTATGTCACCCTCATTTAAATTCATTTGCATGATTAACTGATCCATTTAATTTGGAACACTCCGTGCTTTCAGGCACAAAGCCTTTTAAGCCTTGCCTTTTTAACGTTCCTTGTCACATTCCCAGTTTTTTTTTTACTGTAACCTTGTTTGATTCCAGCCTTTGATTCCTCTGCCTATTATTTACTTAGTTCCCCTTTCTGTGATTTATTCTCATCCTTGATTTTCCTTCCCCTGACTCCTTGCATAGGTTCCCAGCCCCCTGCCAATTTAATTTAAATCCTCCCCACCCACCCTTGCAAATACTCCCCCCAGGGCATCAGTCCCAGTCCTGCCCCGGTGTAATCCATCCAGTCTGTACTGGTCCGATCTCCCTCAAAACCAGTTCCAGTGCCCCAGAATCTGAAACCTTCCCCCTCACACCACCTTTATAGCCGCATGTTCATAGAATATATTCTGCTATCTTTACTTTAACTAGAGCATGGCACTTGGTGTATTCCTAAAGTCACTACCTCAGAGGTCTTCCTTTTCAGTTTGCTTCCTAACTCCTTATTTCGCTTTTTGGATTTCATTCCTTTTTTTTAAAAAACCTACGTCATTGGTGTCAATGCGTATACGACCAGTGGCTATTCATCCTCCCCATCCAGGATATCCTGTAGCCACTCTAAAATATCCTTGACCTTACCACCAGGGAGGCAACATACCATCCTGGAGTCTCATTTGCAGCCACAGAAACTTAGTATGAACAATCACAATGAATTATCCTGTTGTGTTGTCAAATGACTCGACACAGCACTCAGGGATAAACTGTTCCTATTGATGGAGTGATAGAGAGCTAGGTAAAGCAATGGTGATAAGTTAAAAAAGATTAACGTAGCAAGTGGTTAGTGTCTGGAATACAATGCCCAACAGTTTCATAGATGCCTCTATTTAACCTGCTGCTAAGTGGAAATTGGATTATCTAAAAAGGCATATTGTACAGAGTTATGGAGATAAAGCAGGCAATTGTGAGATATGATTTATTCTATCAGACAGGAAGTACAGATACAACAGACTGAATGTCCTTCTGTGCTGTAACCATTCTATAAAGGCAGCTGGGTTAAAATATAAGTTCAACTCACTGATTTTCTTTCTTTCTCGTACATTATAATTAGAATATGCTTTTCCTCTGATACTGCCAATAAAATCAAGTTAAAAACCTGATCGGGTTACAGTTCTATCATTTCTCATGCCCACAATAAGATATACAGAAACTGAGTATTTACATTCTCAACCAAGTTTTCAGTAGATACAGTGCAAAGGTTTGTGGAACTTAACGATTTCACTGAGAAATAATTTAATACCAGTTGATACATCAAATGAAAACAACTGTTGTGGCTGCTCTTCTGTCATTCGGAACAAAGGACACAGGTATAGGCAACGCATATCTAACCTGCACTGTGCAGATCTGGGAATACAGGATAGTTTGCAAATGTACTAGGATGAAAAACGTACTCATTTTCTTGGAAATGACATTCCTAATGGTGAAACTGAAACCATTAATTTATTATTACTGCTGGATATCATCACATTTATGTCCATAATGAATAGTTTAGGTGTTCATTAAATTTAAAAATATTGGTTTATTAGCAAGGTGCAAGCTTTATATGCCACAAGAATAATATTTCAAAGACGGTATGAATAAAGTAATCTTTACAAAGCATAAATTCTAAAGGCACCACTGCATTCTTATGATACCTACCTTGAGGCAGAACAGTCTGAGTCAATCTGGAACCAGCTGTTGGTGCAATAGTGTTACACTGGATATTATATTTTTGACCTTCAATCGCTAGTGTATTTGAAAGACCCAATAGTCCAAGTTTTGCAGCACTGTAATTTGCTTGCCCAAAATTGCCATATACTCCAGAAGATGATGCAGTCATAATAATTCTGAAAAGAAGTGACAAATTAATTTTGTTGTTTCAAATTGTGAAGTTTTGTGGAGAATGAACCAAGTGTGTAGTTCAAAATGAGTACCCATAAAGTCTATAAAGATCAAGCTTTGATTTCTTTCTTACCTGCCATACTTTTGATTCTTCATGTGATTCCATGCAGCTCTTGTGACCTTGAATGAGCCCCTCAAATGAACTCTTTGAATTAAATCTTAACAAAAATATTTTTTTTAATTACTAGCCCAGTAACAAACATGTAATTAAAAAAAAGGTAAAAGAGCTGGAGTCAAAGGAAGTCATAACCAATTTATAGAAGGCTGTGATCAGTGGAGAATTATAAGTTTGATCCCCTCCCCCCGTTTCAGGTCTGAAGACTAAAATTTTAGATCTTTTCAGCTTAAAAGGAGACAGTCTAATCATGAAAGTACAATGGTTCATAATACAAGTAAGTAATAGCAAAGGCAAAAGCAGAATATTATTAGCATTACTTAGGGGAAAGGTCAGGAGAACTTACATTCAAATTGCTTGTACTGCAATAAAAATGGCTTTTATGATTAATAACGTGAAGTTCTTTTTGCAGACAGTGATTAGCCCTGGAATGAACTTAAAACAGAGTACTAGATGTGAGGATTCAATCTATGCATGAAATAAGGTGATGCCATGAAGGGGCCTGGGAGGGACTCTACGATCTTGCGGGGTGCATGATGTTTATTTGTACCTTTCTAAGAGTTCACCTCAAATAAAATTAAAAACTAAATTGAAACTTTCTGATCCAATACGTAATGGTCCTTACTACTAAAGATTTTGATTTTAACTTTAAATAGGGGTGGCATGGTGGCTGACTGGTTAACACTGCCGCAATAGGGTGCAGGCCTGGGTCAGGGTGGGATGCTTTTCGGAGGGTCAGTGAAAATTCAACAGGCTGAACGGTTTCTTTCCATGTTATAGAGATTCTATGATTTTATGAATTCTACATAGCCAACCAATCTTCCATCAGTATGATAAGACATTTGTCACATATATTTAACGAAATACAATTATAATGTTGATCTCAAAAACACCTATTTTATAAAGTAGGATCTACTTAATGTCAACTAATAAGAGAATAGTTTATACGAAGATCCCACAATAGCATCAAATGATCCACAAAGTTACGCACTGCTACGTAACAAACTTCATCCAATTAATTGAATAGTCATTACGTTGATACATTGCATCATACGCATATAACTCAATGTAACTCTCAGCTCACCCCAATCCAAGTCACTTATTCTTGCAAAGGAATGATCTCTTAAAATCCTGAAAAGATGAAGATAACTGCATTTAAAACAGAGATATGCACTAATATGGCAATAATGGCTTTATAATCCTGTGACACCATTCTGGACTCAAAACATTAATTCTGCTTTTCTCTCTGCAGATGCTGTTAGACCTGCTGAGTTTCTCCAACACTTTGTTTTTGATTGTTTCAGATTTCCAGAATCTGCAGTTCTTTGTCTTATTCTAATACTGGGAAGTGGTCATCAACTACCTATGTAAATAATGAATTTTATAAAATTTCCTAAAATACTGTAGATGAAGAAAACGAAACTTGAAGGTATCAGCATAAAGCCAGGCCCCATCTCTCAGATAATTTAGGCATCAAAAAGTCTCCAAGGTGGCTAAGATTCACCCAAATTTAGCCTAAGAGCATAAGAAATAGAAACAGGAGAGGCTGCTCAGCCCTCCCTTCTGCTCCGCCATTCAAAAGGTTCATGACTAATCCAACATTCCTCATGTCCACTTTCCTGCATTTCCCCATTACCCTCAATTCCCCTAATCATCAAGAATCTATCTACTTCAGCCTTAAATATACACAAGGACTCTGCCCTCACAACTCTCTGAGACAAGGAATGCCAAAGACACTCAACTCTCAGAGAAGAACTTCCTCCTCATCTCAATATTAAATTGGTGTTCCCTTATTCTAAGTCTATGTCTCTGGTCCGAGACTTTCCCAAGGGGGGAAACATCCTCTCAGCATTTACCCAGTCCCTTAAGAATCCTAAAAGACATTCTTCGTAAAAGTGTTAAAGGTTGCATTTGGAATGGCCACAAGGAAGATCATCAGGTAGTAAAGTTCCTATGTAAAATGCCTGCCAGTGCTCCCGGAAGAGACTGCACAGCATTTTGGTGACTTGTTCTTGACCTATTGGGCCTTCTTTTGCAGAACATTTCAAGTCATACTTAAAGATTTATCATCTTCTATTGTTAACTTACTGTTGGGAAATTCAAAGAGGAATTTCAAAACATATTGGTACACCGCTCAAACTCTTGGAAGAAATGCAGGTACATTCATTACAGAAATTTTGAGACTTCATCTAAAAAGAGCAAGTGCTGTGCTACTCTACAGGAATCACCAGGAGAAAATCCTTCAATACTTTGCTAGGCATTGTCCTTGGTCTGCAGTAAGAATGGGAGGAGGACACAAGGTCAGACAGAGCACAGCATCTACTGCAAAACAGAGGAAGAGGCGGAACATATACAGGATATGCTCCTCCAACAGAACCACCAGTGTGACATTCAAGATCTTGTAACAAGCCATCGTGCACCACCCAGTCCACTCCATGCCTTCAGTGGAAGTGGATGTGTGGAGTCCCACATATTGCTCCACAAAAATTGAATCTAACAAACACTCAATGACAAATATGTAGGTGAGATAACAAGGTGTAGAGCTGGATGAACACAGCAGGCCAAGCAGCATCAGAGGAGCAGGAAGGCTGACGTTTCGGGCCTAGACCCTTTTTCGGAAATCTCTGAAACAATTTTAACACACTGCGAAGCCATCTGCAGTTCCTGCTATCTCTGAAACAAATATGTAGGTGCCTGCTTAAGCACCTCCAGGCTTATTCAAAATATTCTAATTTGTTTCAGTCTGTACTAAAATCCGGCTTTCAAACAATTATGTCTTCTTATTCTAACACCTCTTTTCACCTTTTTATCTAATAAACCTGTGGTTTTTTGAAGGATTAGAGTATGTGAATTTTTTTTAAAAGAAATTGAATAAATATTGTACTCACCCAGCATTGTTAACAACAATATCTGCAAGAAAGAAAATCAGAGTCTACTTTAAAGTGATAGACTGTAATAATGTGGGAGCCTACTTGTGAAAGTAACTTATCAATAAATGAATTTTATATTAATATTTTAGAATTTATATAATAAAACTGTAGCCTCGGTATTAGCTTTTAATAATAAGCACCCAGCTCTAAGTCCATATCTTCTCAAAGAGAGAGATTGGGAAAAGCTAGAATTTTTGTTTATCTGGACGTCCCTGAACAGAAATCACAAAATTCACAGGCAGACACAGCAAGCATTTCGGAAAACAAAATGCATTCTAGCCTTTACTGTAAACAGTTGAAGTAGGATAGTAAGAAGTTTCACTGCAATATTCAGGGCCTTTGTAAAATCATCCTTCAAGTACTGCATAGTTTTGACCTCCTTGTACAAGTTTTAGGAGTGCAACAAAAATACACTAGATTGATACTTGGAATTAACAGATTGACCTTTGTGGGGAAGTTGATTTTTAGTCTCAGAACTGAATCTCACCAGAAATCAGCCAAGAATTAGTTTCATCAAGTTTCATGAAGGGTTTCTCTCCATGAGGTCTGGTGGGATAACCCAAAATTCATCCAAATTGAATAGTAAACTTCCTTTACAATATTACAGTTCCTCTACAGCCCAGCAATCTAGCTCCAAACTGCACAATTGAGTTCTCCTTCTTCCCTCCTGCAGCAATGAGCCGTGATAACGTTCTTTTACTTTTTGTAAAACTCCAGGATTGACCAGGACCCATCCTCAAGTGACTTAGCCAGACAGCCCCAAACGATGAGTGACAAGATCCCTCACATACCTGTGCAGCTCTGCCACTATTCCCCTGTCCTTGCACTGGACCCATAGGGCTGACCACAGCGCACTCCTCATTGCAGAGCATTGGATCCATAACCCTGACTGCTGGGACTGGTAGCAAACCATGCCCAAGCCCCTGGACTGATACTGGAGGTTGCCCTTGACCTACTGTGTCAGGACCCACTGCCTGAAGGGTGTATTCCTGGAGTCTTAGAATTTGAAACATGGCCATTAGCTTGAAGCACATGCAGTGTCTTTAGCGAGTATTATGCTGGCACATGATGCAGGTATAACAGTAACAGAACAATACACTGTACAAGAATATGACAATCACCTTGCCTGATGACTGCTGACAACCATGACAAACTACTTGGCTTTGTGGCTGCGCTTAACAGCAATGGCAAGACAGAAATACCGAGAGCCTTAAGGTCAGACTGAGGAGGCAAAGCACAAAAAAGGCAAGGCACGGATACTGTAAGCATCCAGGTAAACATAAAGTGAATGGGCACTAAGAGAGCGAGCTAGCGGCACTGATATACAGCTTTGTCCAGTCCACGTGCTGGGTGTCTCAAAGTGCACCATTAAAGTGCTGGAGCGTACTGTAGATGGTTCAGAGATGTGCATAATGATGCAGTAAGGCTGTTGTTAAATGCCAATGTTTGTGGACATAGGGTGCATATGATTGCTGACTATGGAGCATGCCCTGAGATGTTCATAATCGATGTCCAAGATGAAAATCCTGAAGATAAAGCATCAAGCTAGAGTCACCAGGCACTCAGTCTAACTTTATGATGGGAATTCTCAGCATCTATTTTTCATCTGACAAGTGGGAGAATGGGAGAGTGCATGTTTACGAGGTAAGACTAAGTAATAATGAGGGTGATAATAAGCAATAATCTGCACTAATAGGACTCACGCCACTCTCAAGCGAGAATCTCATTCCAACCTCCAGGACTTGGTTGGAAATTGCAACATTTTTGATCTCAATATTGAGAAGGGCCTGGCTTAATATTTCATCGGATCTGCTGAAATTTTTCATCGTAACTACACCTTTCAGGGCCTGGGAAGGTCATGCCCTAGGTCTATATTTCCTACTGTTTGGAAGAGTGAAGGATGATCTCATCAAAATATAAAAATTATTTAATAGGATGAACAAGGTGGATACCAAGAAAATGTTTCCTCTGGCTGAGGAATCTAGAACTAGTAGCTGATGCTTCAGAATAAGAGAGCTGGCCATTTAGGACTGGGATGAAGAGCAACTTATTCACTTCATAAATGACTCATAGATAGTTAGATACTGAGAGATATTGAAGGGGGCAGAGACAGTAATTATCAGTCATGATCTCCTTGAATGGCAGAACACATTTAAACCATCTCATATTTCTTCCATTTGTTCTGTATAAACATTGTATTAATGGATATTAAGGGCTTATTCCTCCCCTTATTCCAGTAAAATTTCAATTATTGACATTATATCATAAACCCACATGGTCACCTGTTCCTCAATAATTTTATTTTTCGGGTTCTGACATTTATGCACTTGCACTCTAATGCCCGGTCTTAGTCTGCTTCATATTTCTCCCATTTGATGTTTCCCAACTCTGAACTACTTTGTCTCTCACATTCCTATGAACAGTATGACAATAAGGACCCAGTAGATGTGGTGTATCTCGATTTCCAAAAGGCATTCGACAAGGTTCTGCACAAAAGGCTGCTGCATAAGATGAAGGTGCGTGGCGTTACGGGCAATGTTTTAGCATGGATAGAGGATTGTTAACTAACAGGAAGCAAAGAGTCAGGATAAGTGATTGCTTTTCTGGTTGGCAATCAGCAACTAGTAGTGTGCCTCTGTGCTCAGTGTTGGGACTGCAATTGTTTACAATTTACATTGATAATTTGGAGCTGGGGACCACATGTAGTGTGTCAAAGTTTGTGAATGACACTAAGATGAGTGGCAGAACAAAGTGTGCAGAGGACACTGAAAGTTTGCAGAGGGATATGGATAGCTTAAGTGAATGGACAAAGGTCTGGCAGATGGAATACAACAATGTTGATAAATGTGAAGTCATCCATTTTTGTAGGAATAACAGTAAAAAGTACTATTATTTGAATGGTAAAAAATTGCAGCATGCTGCTGTGCAGAGGGACCTGAGTGTCCTTGTGCATGAATTGCAGAAGGTTGGTTTGCAGATACAATAGGTAATTAAGGAGGCAAATAGAATTTTGCCCTTTGTTGCTGGAGGGATTGAGTTTAAAAGCAGGCAGATTATGTTACAGCTGTATAGGGTACTAGTGAAGCTACACCTGGAGTACTGCGTGCAGTTTTGGTCTCCTTACTTGAGCAAGGATGTACTGGCACTGGAGGGGGTGCAGAGGAGATTCTCTCGGTTGATTCCAGAGTTGACAGGGTTGGCTTATGAGGACAGACTGTGTAGACTGGGATTATATTCATTGGAATTTAGAAGAATGAAGGGGAAGTTATAGAGACATATAAAATTATGAAGGAAATAGATAGGATAGAAACAGGGACGATGTTTCCACTGGCGGGTGAAACTAGAACAAGAGGGCCATAGCCTCAAAATCAGGGGGAGCAGATTTGGGACTGAATTGAGGAGGAACTTCTTCACCCAAAGAGTTGTGAATCTGTGGAATTCCCTGTCCACTGAAGCAATTGAGGCTTCCTCATTGAATGTTTTTAAAGCTAAGATAGATAATTTTTTGAACAGTAAAGGAATGAAGAGTTATGATGAGAGGGTGGGTAAGTGGAGCTGAGGCCACAATCTTATTGAATGGCGGAGAAGGCTTGAAGGGCCAGATGGCCTACTCCTGGATCTTATGCTTGGTTCTTTTATTTCTCTGTAATGCTTCACCCTAACATACCTTTTCCTACCAAACCATCAGTTTAAATCATTTCCTACAGCACTAGTTAACGTCCCTTCAAGGTCATTAATGACAAACTTGACGCAAAGTTCATTCTCCTTATCAGGTCATTTATTATATTAGGTATCTGTCAAACCACTTACCTATTCTTCCATATGTATCCAGAGCAGTCTGTACAATCTTTTCACCTTCTTCCACAGAATCTGCAAATCACAGCAAAATCAGAATCTTTTGAATGAAAAGCAACCCAATGTGAGACACACAACATTCAAGCTGTGTTAGGAATTCTTTGAGAGTTCTTAGAGCTCTGAAATTATGTCAATATTCAAACAATGCCAACTGACCAATCATCAATCAAAAATGTTATCAAAGTCTGTTAAACCAACACTGAATACATGCCAATTTATATAGATTATCTCCTTCAAACAATATGTCAGCTGCCTAACAAATTCAATGAATTCTTGTTTCCAAATCCTTATTCAAATAGTTCATCACGATTCATCAATTTTAAATGAAGATGGAAACATTTGATCAAGCCAGTAGAAATGCATTTTTCAAAGATGAATTCGACTATAATCATTTTCTAAATCAATTCCAGAGACTTTCTGCAGGTCCCATTCAATGCACTTTCTGAATTGCTTGCATGTAACTGAGAAAGGAACTGAAGTGCTACAGTCCTGCACTGGCATCTAGTGGTGAATGAAGCTCAATGAAAATTAGAGGGAAAGTTTATCCAGTATCACAGTAATTTACAACTCTGGAATCTTGATCAGTCGGCACATCTGGTTGTACCAGTTCTTTGCTAAAGCAACCCGAAAATAATTCAATCAACACTCCTGATCAATATTACTGCACCAGTCACTGCTTCAAATATTTATTCACTTTTCCTTATAAGATGCAACTTTCTTTCACACAGAGGGATTAGACAGAGCATACCACATTCCAATTTATTGACTAAAGGCATTCCTCCAAACATATCATATAACAAGGTGTAGAGCTGGATGAACACAGCAGGCCAAGCAGCATCAGAGGAACAGGAAAACTGATGTTTCGGGTCTAGACCCTTCTTCAGAAATGACTGAATTTTCTAAAGAACAGTCTAGGCCCAAAACGTCAGCTTTCCTGCTCCTCTGATGCTGC